GTAATTACTTAAGTCAGAACTAGCCAGTAAGAAACAAGCAAGGCCAACAGCTTCATTATGATATAGCCTCCTGTGTGTTTATTTGGGACTGATGTGGCTCTAGAACCAGGTTAGCGGGAAGGCTTCTCTCAAGGAAAAGGCTCCCCTTTACACCTTCCCCTAGTAAAATTTTCCCAAATAGCCTCTGTCTGCCTGGCCTGTTTGTCCTGCCACGGGCTCTGCCAAGGTCCCCCTCACATCCCATAACAGTCCCCGTTTAACCCTCATGACAGCGTTTAAGGTCGATCTTTGCTCCCATTGCACACAGAGGCGGTCACAGAGGCTCAAGGCCATTCAGTCACTTAATCTAATATCACCCGCTTAGTAGGTAACCGACCGGAAACCAGTGCCCAGACTCTCTTTAGAATAAGTCAGCAGGGCTGGGCCCAGCAAAAGTGAATAGGTTATGTATGGGTTGGAGCCTGCCTTTATTTAAACACTTGATTATTTTACAAATTGTTTATTTTTTGCATTCATTGTGATTTAAATAAAAATGCATTAATTAAGGGGGGGGCTGGGAAAAGGCCCGGTGGTTAAGAACACTGCCTTTTCTTCCAGAAGACCTAGGTTTGATCCCCAGCACCCACATGGCAGCTCACAACTGTCTGTGACTCCAGTCCTAAGGGATCCAATGCCTTCTTCTGGCCTCCATGGGCACCCATGTGGTTCTCAGACATACATGCAGGCAAAACATCCCCGCACAATTTTTCAAAGAATATATTACACTAGAAATGGCACGGTGGCTTCCTCTGAGCAAGCTGTCTAGGAGGACCACACATACTGGTGAGTTCTGGGTTTGATTGAGAGACCATGACGTACTACATACATGTATGTGCGCCCTATCACGGCCACGTTCACATCCACAAGCATGCATCCACACACAGGAAAATGGGGGAAAATGTGTTATGTTAATGCATTGCTTAGTGTTGAATTTCATGACAACATAAGAGCTCCTTTTGTTACCACATCCTGCTGTACCTCCTGGGGACGGACTCGACACCCATCTCGGGGTCCCGGGGGTGAAAGTTTTCCACATAAATGCTGCTGTTTTGGATGCTGGCATTCCCCAGGATGCATTCTTCTGTGATAAAGCATATATTTTCCCTTGCAGCCTGGGTTCCGGGAAAGCACAGAAGGTAACACAGACTTCCCAGCCTTGAGTACTGAGAGGAAGCAGGTTTTTTCTCTCAGTCTTATCTTCCAGTTGAGGTGAGGGCTATTGGGCTTGGCGGTGTTTCCAAGGCTAGAGGGGTAGGGGCCCCGAGGAAGAGACTTCTCAGCTCTAACCTGAGGGGCCTGACTAGGGTGCTCCATGCCTCATTCAGTCCAGCTAGCTCCCCAGGCCCCCCCGGCTCTCACAGTCCCGCTCACCATCTAACTATCTCTCCACTAAGACCCCCACACTCCCCAATCTCAGTCTGGAAAGCAGCCTGACAGTTAGTTAATCACCTCTCCGGCTACCTAAGCTGTCCTCTCCAGGAGCCAAGTAACAGCCCAGCCCCTGTAACCAGGACCAAATGACAGGACCCAATTCTTGGAACTGCAGCAGCAGAGCAGCCTTGGGGACTTGAGCTTGGGCTCTGTCCTTCAGGGAGAGGTCCAGTGTCCAGGAAACCCATCTGGGTTAACTACCCCACCCCACCCCATCCCCACCTCCTCCCTGCCCAGAAGAGAGAAGAAAAAAAAGAGAAAGAAAGCCGGTCCCGAGGTCCTGGCCTAATCCTAGGAGTCCTCTTGTTCCATAACCTGAGAAACAATTCCTGCCTGGAGACTCCTGGTTTACACACACACACACACACACACACACACACACACACACACACACCTACTTCTTGTTTGGTAGTAGCCTGAGCTTTGGCTGTTATAGATTGGATAACACCCCCAAACTTTATGTGTTAGCTTGTTCTTCAATGGGGAGGTAAGAAGGGATGAATCTGCGTGCTTTAGGGCATCCTGGGAAGTAAGCCCTCGGAGTACCAGCTTTGTAATGGGTTAAGGCTGGCTCAAGCAGTCAGCTCTCAGGAGGGCAAGCTGTTACAAAGTGAGCCCACCCCATGTTTGTCCCTTTCTGTGTGCAGAAATTCTTGTTTTTCAGCTGTGTTGTGATGCAGCCAAGGAGTGTGCCTGCTGCGTGTGTGTGCGTGTGTGTGCGTGTGTGTGCGTGTGCGTGTGTGTACATGTGTGTGTGTGTGTGTGTGTGTGTGTGTAGGCGAGGGCTTCAAAGTGTGGATTGTTAAGAAGTCTCTTTTCTTCATAAGCAACCTGATCTTTCACATTTTTTGTTTGTTTGTTGATGCTTTGAGACAGGGTCTCAATCCCTATGTAGCCCTGGCTGCCCTGGAACTCACTATGTAGACCAGGTTGGCCTTGAACTCAGAGATCCACCTCCCTCCGTCTCCCCTAAGTGTTGGGATTTACGGCGTGTATTTTGTTTTTGCCACATGAGATCAGCCCAAGACATTTGCATTATAGCTTTAGAACCTGGAAGTAAAATGGAACTTTCTCTCCCCACCCTGCTTTTTGATCAATGCTTTTTCAGCAATAAAAAAACAAACCAGAACACCACTTCTTAAAGAAGAGTGTTAGAGATTAACGAAGGTCTAGTTCAAGGCCAGTGATCAGGCTGAGTGAGGACTGGAGCCTTACTTGGGAGTTTCTTCTTCACTTTTCCTCCCTAGAAGAGAAATATCCCCTAGACCAGGAAATGGAGACAGTCTGGAAAGTTTAGGGGGTGCTGAGAAGAAAGCCCACACCTTCTATCACAACTGGCATGAGCCTTAGACAGATTTTGATGACATTTTAAAGACAGAGGAAGTATCACTTTCCAGGAAGGAGGACCTGCCCAGGAACACGGAAGTACACAGTTTCGGGAGATAAAACTCTTACTGTCCTCCCAGAGTCTCCTGGATTCTCTCGGTGATCAGAGGACAGCCGGGTTTCCTTGGGTTCCTGGGAGGCACGCAGGAGCCAAGGGCCAACCGCACAAGGGCTGAAATCAAAGCAGGCCACACATGGCTTCTGTGTCCTTGCTTCCATGGCCAAAGACCACCAGGAAGGCAGAGCACATGACCGTGAACTCCTTCCCAGCACCACACACACACACACACACACACACACACACACACACACACACACACACACACACTACCACTGCCCCAAGTCCTCACAGTTTACACATAACCACGGGAGGGAGCAAACTAAACTGGCAGGAATTAAATGTATTATTTTCCCTGCCCTGAGGAGAAACGAATAGGAATTGCTACAACTATATTTCTTATGGTTTTAGTTCGTGCTTCTTGCCTCCGCCCCTTCCATATCCTAAACTATTCTGTGTTCTGCAGCTAGATTAACTGCCCTGAAATGCCACTCCATGCTTGCGTGGATTCAAAGAACAGTTAATCGAGCTGCTACGGTGACTCAGAAAGTGTGTTAGGGAGTTAACCTTAAATCGACTATAAGAGCGATGAAAAACAGCACTGCATAGGATGCCGTTTTATAAGCAAAATCTAAAAGTTTGACAGCATGCTCTGCTTAGGGAGGCGGTGGTGAGGCAGGCATCCCATACCTTGCAAATGGAAATGCAACACGGGGCAACATCCACGGAAACACATTTAGCAATATCCGTCAGCATTCCATATGGGTTTGCCTTTTCAGAGACCTACCCCAAGGGCACGAAGGGACGTGAGCACAAGACTATTAATGCAGCTATTGCTAATAGTAAAGACTGGAAATGCCTGCTAACAGGGAGCTGGGATCAGTTGTGCAGTTTGCTGCTACTAAAGTGGACAATAGCACACAGCTGTAACAAACGAGGGATGTTTCTACACACGAGTGAAGCAATAGCAACACTGGAAAACTGGAAAACAGCGCAGGAAACTCTGGGAAAACAGATGCAAAGGGCAGGATTTCATTTGAGAGCGGTGTGTGTGTGTGTGTGTGTGTGTGTGTGTGTGTGTGTGTGTGTGTGTGTGTGTGACCTGGCTGTATTGGCTGTACACATCTCAAATGCAGGGCCACAAAAAAAAAAAAATCAAGTGAAGACGTCACCAAACAGAGAAGGTAGAGAGGCAATGCGCGGCTCCCATGAAGACAGCCTGTGTAGATTTTTAGCTTCAAACAGTGGAAATGCTTTACGGAATTATAACAATAACCAAATAGAAAAATTCAATCCTTTAAAAGAGAAAGTAAATAAAACCGCTCAGCCTAACCGTGCACCAATTTAGATTGCTATTCACACGGAGGGAATAATCTCAAGTGATTTTTTTTTAAAGCACAGTGATTTCATTATATAATCAAAGTGAGACTTATCGTAACAAGAAAAACACATGCAATCTTAAGCTGTTGTTTCAGCAGCTGTGTTGTTAATCCTGATACCCTGGCCATATCCTGACCCATAGCAGCGGGCTGTTAAAACAACTAACTTGCTTTGGGACCCAGGATGTTCCAGAATGAGGGAAAAGCAACGTAGACACGAGGTCACAGGGGTTGTGGGAAAGCGTATGGTTTTAAATTTGAATGGGGGTACAGCATGAGTTCAGGATGCATTTTCTCTTGTCTGTTGAGACGCTCTAAGTAGGATGACCTCTTAGGTATTGACAAGCTCCCCCAGGGCCCAGGTAGTTGCCTTTTGAAACCATTTTCCACTAAGAGGAGCCTGAGCTCTTTTTGGAATGGCCTCTGTGCTGCTTTGAACGAGAACGGCCCCCAAAGGCCTCATATATTCTTTGATTCCCTGTTGGTGGACTGTTTAGAAAAGGTTAGGAGGTGTGGCCTTGGAGGGGCGTGGCCTTGTTGGAGGAGGCGTGGCCTGGCTGGGTGTGTGGTCTCATTGGAAGAGGTGTGTCACAAGGGATGGGCCAGGCCTCCTGCCTGCTGATCGGGAGACAGATCTTAGTCACTTCTCCAGCACCTTGCCTTCTTGACTGCTGCCATGCTTCCTATCACGACGATCATGGACTCACCGTCTGAAGCTGTAAGCCAGCCCTCAGGTGAATGCTCTCTTTTATAAGTTTCCTGGGACGTAGTGTCTCCTCACAGAAACAGGAAAACCTCTTTTCAGATCCACAAGAAAGGTACAAGACGATCCTGAAAGGCAAGAGAGAGAACCAAGGCCATGGTGATCATATCAAAAATACCCAGGACAAATAGAGCAGCACAATGAATAACAATCTTAGTGGCTTGAAAAATATTCAAGATACTAAAGTGTATACATTCATAATAATAACAACAACAGCAACAATAATGCAGATATTGGTTGGTCATCTTCAGAGTACGCCAAATAACCCCACTCATCCTGAAACCTTGCAAATAAATAGAGTCCGACGTTTATTCTACGGTGTTCATAACTTTCTATTGTCGTAGCGAAATACCTAGATAAACAACTTAGTGCCCCAAACCCTCACTTAGCTCATGGTTTCATCCCTCGGAGGGCCTGATTGTTCAGTGGCCTCTAGTGAGTTAAAGAGCTACCGTGGAGAAGGATGCTCACCTTGTGACATCTGGGAAGCAGAAGGCAGGCAGAGAGAAGCATCAGAGAGGAAAATCTATCCTTCGGAAGCACACTCTCAATGGCTAGGCCCCTTCTCCTTAATTTTTAATACCTCCAAATTCATATTAAGCTGTGAATTGAGCAGAAGGTTAACCCATCGTTGAGATTAGAGCTCACCGTCAGATCCCTTTTCCACACCTCTGAGCAGTGTGGCGCTGGGGACCAAGCCAAGCCACAACATCTATCTTTGGGTTAGTGGATGCATAAATGGTCCTTGTAGGAGAATCCTAGCTCACACAGGAAGAAGGAATGACAGAATCAGGGCGCCACCAATTTGCTTCTGGATAAGCAAGGCTACTGATGGCTACCACAATCAGTAGCGGGAACTTCACAGTGACACACCAGGCTAGCAATATTTGAGCCTGATGATGACATAGGGTATGACTTATGTGGTTGACATGGCATCTGAAGCTCACAAGTTTAATTCAGCGGGTAAATTTAGTAAGTCCCATTTAAAAGCCTGAAGTTTCCCGATTTCTTTTACTCCTTACAAGCTAACTGCGTCATTTTACATTTCACAGCCTCCATCCTAGTAGTGAGCAGTTAGCTCGTTCTTCTCTTTTATTTTTAAAGATTGATTTATTATGTATACAGTGTGCTGTCTGCATGTACGCTGCAGGCCAGAAGAGGGCACCAGATCTCATTACGGATGGTCTTGAGCTACCATGTGGTTGCTGGGGATTGAACTCAGGACCTCTGGAAGAGCAGTCGGTGCTCTCAACTTCTCTCCAGCCCCCCACGTCCATTTTTTTTAAGAAGATGAGAACAGCTGGGCGTTGGTGGTGCACGCCTTTAATCCCAGCACTTGGGAGCTAGAGGCAGGCAGAATTTGATTGAGGCCAGCCTGGCCTGAAGAGTGAGTTCCAGGACAGCCAAGGTTACACAGAGAAACCCTGTCTCAAGAGGGAGAGGAGGGGAGGGAAGGGGAGGGGAAGGGAGGGGAGGGAAGAGAGAGAAATAGAGAGAGAGAGAGAGAGAGAGAGAGAGAGAGGACATTTTCTAATTTGACATAGAAAAATCTTAAATATTGGCTGATATCATTCACTGTCGTGCTAAAAACTAGCAGTGCTGGCCTTCAGCACCTTCTCCTTGAGCCAAGAGACTTGGTTTCCGTTTCGTAGCTGCTGCTTTCGGGGCCGCACATTCTTGAGGGTGTCACCCGGTGTCTTACCGCTGCCTGTAAGGTGGGCACACCGTCATACACCCACACCTTTTGTGTGAAGCATGGGATTACCAATGGAGAGCACATTATAAGTCACCAAACTACCTTCCACGAATGGTCAGTGTGGGTCCTTCTGTTGTGGGATCCCTCAACCAACACACAAGACACTATGTTAATTATGAAGCTGTTGGCAGTTTGTTATGGTTTCTTAATGGCTACCTCTGACTTAATTATTAACCCATAATTGCTAATATACATTTTTATAAGCTCTTACCGAGAACGGCCAGACTTGCGTTCTCTCCTCCCGGGATCACAGGGTGACCCTCCACCCTTGACCTCATTTCCCAGAATCCTCCTCGACTCCTAGCCCCACCTATCTTGCTTCCCTATTGGCCAACAGTGCTTTATGTATCAACCAATCAGACAAACATATACACAGAAGGACTTCCCCCATCATCCTTCAAACATACCTGAAGCCTTGGTCCCAACAACTTCCCAGAACCCTCCTCGCTCATCAGCTGGCGTCTACGCTGTTGTTTGTAGCTGCTTCTGGCGATGAATCACAAAAGACACAACATGGAGTTACCGGGAATGGGAACAAAGAGAGGAGTGGGTGTTGGCCTGGCCGGGAACAGAGATGGAAGAGAGAGAAGGGGTGGGAGAGGCTTAAAAGGGGAAGCTCGCACGTGCGTACAGAGTCCTTGCACGTAGCGCACGATGTAGCCACGCAACACAGGGCGCTTTGAGCTGTCTAAGTGTCTGCCTGAATGCCGGCGTGCGTACCCTGCCCCTTGTCAGGGGACCAGGTCAGCATAACGCCAGGGGTCTACCCCTACTCCTCCTACCAGCCCAGTTTTGGACTTCTCTATGAAACCTGTAGCTGCATCAGCCCACGGTGACGCGCCTCCTCTCCTTTCCTCGTCCCTGTGTCTGTAATGGTCACTTGGGCCTTTGAAATGACTCTGCTGGGTCTAACTGTTGCCCCAACAGCACAGAAGGACTCTGAACAATAGGAGGCTCGGTGTCAATCATCTGCTCTTCCCCCACCGCAGATCCAGGCATTTTACAGAGAAGGATGCGTTGGGTAACCGTGCCGGCGGAAGTCAAGCAAACTGCATTTATTTTCTTTGTTCTGAGACCGGCACTCCTCTGCTTTTTTTTTTCTTTTTCTTCGAGACAGGGTTTCTCTGTATTGTTTTGGAGGCTGTCCTGGAACTCGCTCTGTAGACCAGGCTGGCTTCAAACTCACAGAGATCTTCCTGCCTCTGCCTCTGGAGTGCTGGGACTAACGGTGTGGGACACCAACGCCCGGCTTTAGTATGCTTTCATTCTCTCTTAATTTTTCATTTTTTTTTTTTTTTGGTGAGTTGCATGAGTGACTACTGTATTTACCTCCCTCCCTCTCCCTTCTCAACTCCTCCTGTGTGTCCCCAAATCCCTCACAAATTCCTGACCTCTTGTTCCTCGTTGTTGTTACATAATCTGCACCCTGTAGAGCCCACCTAGTCTTGCTCTACAGACATATGTTTAAGGACAGCCCTTGAGATTGGGTCATTGGTAAAGAAGTGTGTTTTCATCAGCCACAGGCTCCTCAGAAGTCAGTTCTCTCCTTTAAGCCTTTACAAATAGTATTTCCTTCTAGCCTCCGAGGTTTTCTACTGTAAAACCCCAAGCATCTCATCCGCTCCCCCCACTGCGAGTCACATGTTTTTAGGCCTCTGGGAAGTTTCAAGAAATCTCTTCCTGCCTCGAGCTTTCAGAAGTTAGAGAAGTTAGGAAGAAAGCTGGGCACAGATCTCTTTGGGATTATCCTATTTGGGGTTCATTCGGCTTCTAGACTCTTTCGCTGAATCTGGGAGATATTTTAGACCTCGTATTTTCAAGTGTTTTCTCTTTTTTTTTCCCCCAGCACAGATGTCTTTGCTTCCGGAGCCCTGGTGACGAGAGAAGCAGGTGCCTGGGTTAGGTGGAAGAGCCCGTGGGTCTGTATTGGTGCTCCGGCTCTGTCTCCCCACGGCTCACACGGGACCCTCTCTCCTCCTCCGGTGTCACCCCAACCCTGTTCTATCACATCCCGCCCATGCAGTGTGGTTCTCGCTCCTCTCTTTACTGTATTTTGAGTTCTAAGCTGGTTGTTCCCTTTCTATCTGCTATTTCTTTACTGGGGCATTCTTTCCGTTCCTGTTAAGAGAATTAACCCTTGGCTTTGGGCTTTCCGTAGCTCCTCCGAGGTCTCCCTCGGGTAACTCTATGTCACCTAAGCACTGGCATTTCCCGTTACGTCTTTCCCATGCAAGTTGCGGCTTGTCTAGTTTGCTATATGCCAAGCAGTTTTTGACTTGCGTCCTAGACACGCTGATTCTTATGTTATGCAATCTTGGATCTTACTTAAACCCCATGAAGAGTGTTGCTATTTTTGTCTTCGCAGGCAATGAATCTGGTGAAGGGTAGGTCTTCGTTTCCAATCTGCCTTCTGTGGGCCCTGGTTAGAACTGCGGTTGAAATTTCAGCCTACAGTGTTCTGTCTCGGACAGGCACTCCCTAGTGACAATTCTGGCACCCGAGTAGTGGTCTACCTGTGAATTTTGTCTTCCGGATCAAGTTCACAAGGACTTCTCAGGCTCAAGAGTAACTGACAGACGCCTTTATACAACCACTTTCCACGGAACTTTTTTCCTCTCCTTGCTTGTTACTACCCAGGTTCTGGGGTCCCCCTTGCAGTTCCCTGGTGAGAAATCAGGGTGTTGGTTTTAAGGGGGAGTTCCTTTTTTAACTGTCAGAACTGGGAGATGCCTGCATCCGGTGGTTACTCACAGTCAGGCAACGGGTTCATCCCGTGCTGGTTTCCTCCGTAGACTCTGACTGCTGTCAGCCTCTCAGAATCATCAGACAGCATCTGGTGCAGTCTCCAGCTTCGAGGGCTGTGCGTCCCTGGGAGAGATGCTGGAGTGTGCTCATCCATCTTACCTGGCCCCCGCGGAATAAAACGGTTAGAGGACATTCCTCAACACGGCCCTCGGTGTGTCTCACATAAAGACCTCTTAAAACTCGGAGTCGGAAGAGGGAGTGGGTTTTCTTTTCATTTCTTGTATGAACCCATGCAGATTTCTTTTATTAGAATGTCAATTTCTCCCTCCTCACCGTGGCTACTGAAAACATAAAAAAAATGGCGAAGCCTGTATCGTGGAATTGCAATGTCTGGCACGTAGGAGGTGCTTAGTAAACATTAGTCACCCCTACCTATATCCACACCCGTCTCACTCTTCAAAGAGCTAAGTGCTGTATTTGGGGGCACTTCCTGGTGTGTGTGTGTGTGTGTGTGAGAGCGTGCATGCATGTGTATGTGCATGCGTACGTGTGCGCATGTGTGTGTGCATGCATGTGTGTGTGCTTGTGTGCATGTGTATGTGTGTATATGTGTGGTGTGGGAGCATGCATGCGTGCGCATGTGTGTATGTGCATGCATGGGTGCATGTGTGTGTGCATATATGTGTATGCGTGTGGTACGTGTGTGTACATGCATGTGCAGTGTGTGTGCGCATGTGTGTGTGCATGCATGTATGTGCATGCTTGTGTGCGTGCGTGCATGTGTGTGTGTGATTACACAATTTTGCCCATTCCTGTGCCTTTTGTCACTGGGCATTTCTCTTGCAATCCCGTGATGGTTCTTTTGGGGAACAATCTTCACCACATTAATCCCTCAAGCCGCCTTAAATCCCGCTTGGAAGTGGACAAAGCAAACTAACGCAAAGTCAGTGAGAAGGCTGGACTGTGTGCGCGTACGTACGGAATGCGTCACATCGCTGAAGCTGGTTTTCCACCAGGTTTCGTTTTTCATCTTCAACAAGACCCCACGGGAGTGGGGCAGAAAGGCAGCATCCGTCTCCGGCGCAGCGCCAAAGCGCTTCTTACTTTCTCTCTTTCTGTTGAGTTTTGTGTCCATGTTAAAAAGCTGTCTCAAAGCCATACTGGAGAGTTCCTGGGGGCCCTCTGGGGCCACATGACCTAGGAACGCACGCAGCGTCTAGGACTCCACCATCAAGAACGCCCCACAGTTGGCTTGTGCTAACCCCCTGCCCCTGCACCAGGACCAGGGGCTGTCTGGAGGTCTGGTCCCGGCATGCTGGAGTGGAGTGTGAATCACTCGCCTCACTGCACCCTGCTCACCATGGATGGCTTGAGGCATCCAAGCCTCGGGACTGAGATAAGCCCTTCCTTTGTCAAGTTGTCCCTGTCGGATATTTGGTCACGGCATTTACTCCATGGGGAGTCTATCCCACAAGGGCTGACTTGCTCTGGACAGTCCGAAGACAGCAACACTGATAACTCGGGGGCTGAGAAGAGTGTATGGGACACTTCTGGAAGAGTGGCTCTTCCATTTCCCAGTCCCTCTTGAATGCTTTGGGCTCACCTTGTCCTATGCTCACTGCCGTGGTGTTCTTTGAATGTGGCCAAGGCCTGAAGGCCAGTAGTGGAGATAAAGGTGATTTTTGAGTAAGCCTGCAACTCAAATACACTATAGCCCAACAGAAATGCATTCCCCACTGAAGGGGGATGGTCTTCTGTGTATATGTGCTTATCTTATTGGCTGTTGAATAAAGCACTGTTGGCCAATAGGGAAGCAAGATAGGTGGGACTAGGAGTAGAGAAGAATTCTGGGAAAGAGAGGCACAGGCAGTCACAATATAGGCCACCAAAGGAGTGAGAGGTCCGGACCCTTTTCTCCGGTAAGAGAAATAACTTAGATTAGCAGTTATGGGTCAACAATTAAATCAGAGCTAGCCGATAAGAAATCACAGCAAACGGCCAACAGCCTCATAATTAATATAGGGTCTTGTGTGTTATTTGGGGGGTTCAGACAGCTCCTCAGGGCCCAGGTGACTGGCAGGAAGGGTGCACGTTACACCCCACCTCGATCCTAAGGATTTATTGTAGAGACTTACCAACAGGCAAGTGTCTTGGCTTCTCCTTGTGCTTATCTCTTTTCATGCTTCACTGTAGCAACTCCGGTGAAGAGGTGGTTGGTGTTTCTCTCCCATTGTTTCCTCCTGTACCGCACTTTGATGTGGGATGTCCTTCTGTAGGCTGGGAATATCTGTTTCTCTGATTGGTTGATTAATGGAGCTGTTTCAACCAATGGACAGGAGGATGCAGCCAGGCAGGAAGCTATGAGTGGGGCTGCCAGACTAGGAGAACTCTGGAACGGAGAGACAGAGAGTGAGTCGTCAGCCAGACGCCATAGAGCTGCTGAGGAAGAGAGAGACTGGGGCGTCACTGGTAAGCCAAGACTGCGTGGAGATATGCAGATTAATAGAAATGAGTTAGTAACTAAGAGAGAGCTAGCCAATAATAAGCCTGAGCCATGGGCCGAACAGTTTATGATTACTATAAGCCTCTGTGTGTTTATTTGGGACTAAACGGCTACACGACCAGGTGGCACAGAAACTGCTGTCCACAGTACTTTGACCCACAGAATTTATAAAAAGGGACATTTGCTTGTTTTGACTCTAAGCCTTTGAGAAGCCTTGCATGCTTCTGCCCTTTCTCTCGGGAGTCTTGATTCTTCCATGCCAGACGACAAGAGACACTGAGGATCACAGTCAGCCAAGGTATCACAACAGAGGCCTCAGACACGTGAAAGACCCCATCAAGATAAGCCAAGTTGACCTACAGCTGTCCAAAAACAAGAGGGGCCCATCTGGGT